TGTAAATAGGATATCAAGTCCACATCTTGTAGAGCAATTAACCACTAGGAAGAATGTATGCAATGTGTTAATTATTGAAACTGTCCTACTACTTTGGTTTGAAACTGTCTCATTGCTATTTGTTTCTCAATAAAACTATGGGGGGAAAAAATCAAGGGCCTGAGTTCAATCCCTCATTCCACCAAAAAACCCCAAAACAAACAAAAAACAAAACCAGTTCCCTTTGCCCAGGCTAGGGACTATCACAAGGGAAGGAATAAGGAGAGAGACCCATGTCTCTAAAATGCCTAAACCAACTATAAAATCACCATAGCCACTGGGGGCATCTGGTCACACAGCCTGGAGAGGGTGCGGAGGGCTGGGTGAGTAGCTCCCCCCGAGGGAGAGGCTTCGCAGAGCAGCGTGTTGGCACGCGGAGCAGGGAGCAGCAAAGCGGTCCTGTCTCTGTGGCGGGGAGGAGGGCAACCCTGGGGGGTCTAGCGCTTGGCCCTAAAGGAAACCTCCATGCTGCTTGGGAGCCAGGAAGACTGCATCTACAAGCTCATGCCCTGCGCTGTGGTACACTTTCTGAGCTTCATGGAAGTTCTGTGGTGAAGCTGAGCATCGGCTGTTGCACCCCCAGATAATCCATAGCATGATTCTAAGAAACATTGCCCACAGGAAAGCACCGGGGATGGGGGAGAGCTAGAGGCCACCTCTGCAGGGTGTTTTGTGGTTTTTTTCTTCTTTTTTTTTTTTTTTTTTTTGGCTAGCAATATATAAAACATAAGTGGAAAATATTTTTCTTTTTCTTGGACTTTGGGTCAGGCTAATTATTGACAAACAGCATTAAACCCGTTAATGGAATGATTAGGGTATTGTATAAAGCGGGGAGAAGGAAGAAACCATGTTAGAATCTTTTTGCTTTTCTCTCAGTTCACAAAGTCGCAGTATTCCCATGCCTTTCATCCTTTAAAAGTAGGGGACTGATGCTCTCAGATATTATGTACAATAATTCCCCTGTATCCTGGGGCCTGGGGCAGAAGACATGTTCCCAGGCCCCTGTGGATGCTGAAACTACAGGTAGTACTCAAACCCGTTTATGCCACGTCTTTCTCTACACGTACATACCTGTGATAGTTTAATTACTAAATTAGGCACAGCAAGAGATTAACAGCACCAATGAATAGCAAAATAGAACAATTACAACAATATACTGTAATAAGAGTTACATGAATGTAGTCTTTCTTAAACCTGTCTCTTTCAGCACATCTAATTGTATTACACTGTATTTTGGACAGCAGCTGACTGTGGGTAGCTGAATTGTGGATGGGCTGAGGAGGTACCAAATTTTATGGGCTGAGGAGCGTTAGCCCCATCCAAAGTCATCTCCCAAGTAAAACAAAAGCTTACAGAAGGAAAAGAATCATCAAATACTTGAATAATTCAGTATTTTAGGTCTGACCAGAAGATTGTCTTTTGCATGCAAGTGATAATCTTCTCTCTGATTTTATTCCCTTTTCTTTGAATACAATTTTGGAAAGTTAAATAAAAGTCCTCTAAATTGCTTTGCTGACTTAGCCCAGCTGTGACAGAGTCACACCCTTGATAGCTTCAGCAAGTAGAAACCTGACAGCGCTAGGCAAAAGATGACTGCTTTCGCCACCTGGTCAGTCCCACCCAGTGTCCCCGAGCGTGCAGGGAGCAGCCACACTTGGCTTTGCTCCTGAAGCAGAAGGCATTGTGAAGGTTGGTTTTGTGTTGTGGGAAATCACAAGTGTCGAAGAAAGTGAAACCCTACCTGAAATTAAAGAGACCTTCAGGGCACACGATATATAACTTATATTAGCTGCCCTGGTACACCCTTCCCACTTAAAAATTTGTCCCCTCTACATTTAAAATTTATACTCAAATATTTAGGTTATATTCAAACTTAAAAAGGATGTGTTTTTGCATTTCTATATTCTGAAAACTCTTAAGAAGCAAACACCAGTGCCTTTTTCATTATATTGTACCTTTGAAGAATTAGTAAATATTTTTCAATAATAATGGTAATGTTGAAATAAAGGTTAAATACTCCTGTTTATAAAGATCACAAATTCTGAAAACTGCTGAGCACGTAGGAAATTTATTTAATGAAATATCTAAGGAAATCTGTTTCACTTTTCATACAGTGTTGCATATGAGTTTGTTTCTTTAAAAAGAGAAATATGAGTCATTTTGGTATCATATTTGCTAAGCAGTATTTTGCATGTTTAAAATTTTTTTCCTGTCTGACTTACAGCTAACACACACTATGCAGTGACTTGCAAGAGGACCTTTGCAATAACTTGCCCCTAGAATTAACAGCTCCCTTAACTTTTCCTAGTTTATTAATATTAGATTATGCAGCTATCGTAAACTCTATATTAAAGAAAATCACTTTAAATACAAATTACATTATAAATCCTAGGAATATTTCTTTTCTCTTTAAAAAAAAATATCGTCTATATAGCACACACTCCTCAAATTCACCAAAGACAGAATTACTAATATTTAAAAAAAATTTTTTTTAAAAGAGAGGCCACTCACCTATTTGAAGAGTGCTTCCTGACAAGTGACTCTGGTAGAGACTGTCACGTAAATCTACATTTTGCTCTGCTCTTCAGGATCTCATCAAACAAAAAGAGCCCCAGGTTAAAGCTGAAAGTAAAAACTCTTTCATCCACCCAAGAGCCGTGGACGGTCCTCCGCTAAGCCTGGGATCCTCATTGCGCGCCCTGACAGCTGCTTGCTGCCCCTTGTTTTCCAGCGACAGTGACTTCCACCTCCTTTTATTTAGCTCTGCGATGCTTTAATGGTTTGCCTGCACACGCAACGCATCACGTGTCAGGCCCACACCTGGGGGAGGCTTTGCAACCAGGAAGACGTCAGGAAAGTATTCAGTAGCCCGCCCAGCCAGACATCAGCGGAGGTGTGCTTCTTTTTCACAAAACAATCCGACGACATTAGGAGTTCAGGTCAACTGACTCACGTGGTTCTAAACCAGGAACCTTCTGTACTATGCCCCCAGTGTCCCCAAAACTTTCTCTGCTCCACTTTATATTTTATTTCTGGCTGACCGTATGGGAATGGCTGCCATCAATAGTTTTGGTAACTCACATGCCTTTGCTTCTGTGTTTTAGAATTCTGTTTCTCTTTTCCAATATTTTCTTATATTTACTCTTATCTGCTCTGACTCCTTTGTGACCAGGGACACCAGTGCCCTAAAGGAGCTGCTTTGATTTGCATGGGTCCTTCCAGCTCCACCTGCTTGCTCTTGGAGCCAGGAAAGGCAGTTCATTACTGTTTCCCAACATTTAACCCATGACGCCCCAAGCACACCGCCAGGGACCTCTGCAGCTGGTTAAAACTTGAGAGTTCAGCTGAGCCAAGTGTGTTTCCTGAGAACTTTGGCACTGTGCAAGCGAAGCCCTGCGTCCTTTGTTACTACCTGAATTGAAATTCTACCAAGAAACATAAAAGTATTCTGAACACCAAAGCGGCAGTTGGCCTCTCCGGTCAGACAACTAAGAAGTTGTCACACGATCTGGGTTTAACTCACCCTTTCTGCCCCAGCGACTGAAGCTTGAAAAGCTCCTTTTCAGATTTTCTGAATGAAAATAGAGAAGCCAGGGATGATCTGAAGCTCGGCCAAGAAGGAACGGATGTCGGGGGTTTTGAATTGGTCACATGATCAGGTCTTGATGTTTGTAATTCCACTGGACCAAAAAAAAAGTACAATTTTTGCATTGTTAAAGTTTTTCCAGACAAACATCCTTGAAAGAATGAACCTTGGCCCTTGCTCCTCTCCCTCTACCGCTGTGCACTCTGGAAACACAAGACTCACTCTCCCAGACCTGTAGAAGGACGGAGCTGCCGCGTCCCTTCAAAGTCTAGTGCCCCAGGAGGCTGCCGACGAGCCCTCTGCACCGGTGTCCATCCTGCATCGTGCAGTGTGCTGCGAGGGTTACATCTCTACAGATGGCCCCTTGCTTCCCATCCCCCGTCTCCCATGGAAGGCCAGCACCCACGCGAGCCAGCTGTGGACCCCAGCCAATTCTCACCTGCCCAACCAACCTTGCTTTCTGAAATTTTTATTTTTAGTGCTTTAAAATCCTGGGGACCAGTACCATACAACTCTTTTATACCAAAGAAATTAAACAATTTATAAGATTCTTTCTTCCTTCACAAAATCTAGCTCAGCATGTATGATGGTTGTATCAGTAACAGTTTTTTGTCTTTATTTTACTTCCTCTTTTTATTTTATGAAAATAAAATTTCATAATAAAAAATAACAATAGTAAAAAAATAACATTAGTTAGTACACTGTGTATTGTTATCTCCAAAGTAGTTACTCAGAGTACAAGGCACAAACCAAAAAGATTCTTACAAAAGCAACAGCACAAAACTTTCTTTTATATATAAATTCTGAAAATTTGAAGACAATGTCAACATATACAAAGACCATAATACTGTATTATATTTAGAAGTGATGAATTTATAAATGATAAATGAATGCAAAGTGAGGGCCAAGTCACCGTGGCATCCTGGGGTTAATCTAAAAATCTGAACTACAGGGGCCAGGGAGATGGCTCAGTGGAATAAGCGCTTCCCTGGCAAGCGCAAGGGCCTGAGTTCAATCCCCCGTTCTGAAAAGAAAAAAAAAAAAAAAAAAAAAAAAACAACAAAAACATCAACATAAGATAACACTTCAAAACTGAAAATATGAACTACTGAAGCTTTTTAGATAGTCTAGTATTGGAGTTGCACAAGATTGCCAATGTGATACATTTTGAAATATTGTTAGATGTTTCATTAGATTACTATTAGTAGT